AAACATGGAAATAATTTCATGTGCGAATTTTCGAGTATTTTCAAACCTTGCCGGTAAATATTTGTAAAATTCAGTCACACCCACTTCAATGAATTTTGCCTTCAAATTTGAGTCGTACTGAATCTCAATCACATCCATTTGCATATTACTGGGTACTGAGTCTATATTTATTGAGAAAATTGAAGAAAACAAACAAAATTTTTCTTCCAAAGAATTAAAATTTTTAAACCTTGTTTCAATTTCTGCTTCAATATTTGAAATTGTTTCTGTGTATTTTTGATACGATGCAGTATCCCTGGAATGGCAGGTGCCGCAAACCAATTTGAATTTTACATTTTCGCGCATACAATTTAAAATGATCCGTATAGTTTATAAATAAAGTATATTTTAATTTCATATGCTAGTTTCCTTTCTAATTCACATTTCTATTTTATTTTTACTTTGCGTCGGATATATTGACTGGGCCGCAAAAATGTTCATCTCGGGCCGCATGCGGCCTGCGGGCCACGAGTTTGACACCCCTGGTGTAGGGTATACCGGGCAAATGTAAATGTGTGGCCCGATACTCCAAACATTGATGTTTCTTCTAATCTATCGTCAGTAAGTATTAAAATATCGAATAAATGTAATTATGTCCACGAATAAATTCATATAAAATCGAATGTAACAAATATTTCGGACATTCACCAAAGCGACTAGGTGATTGTTGACATTCACCGGTGAGTATCGGACATTCACCAGATTTCGGTCATTCACCGTAATATATATATAATTAGGATTTGCGCAGTAATAAGCTTAAAAATTAATTAAGTGTAAAATAGGTGACTAGGAATAAGTGTGAGCACTGTAGATGGAATGTAAGATGTGAATATCAATGTAAGGCATGATAATTATTTTCAGCTCAACTATGATTTATAAATCAAAGACTATTTGCTTGTCTTAAGATAACTACATTTTACTTGTAGATTCAGTCTGAAAATTAGTAATTTAATATATTGCACAACAGCACTGAAAACTCAAAAAATATTATAATATTATGGGTTTAATAAAATTTGCCCTTCTGATATGAGCGTGCTTTGTAATTATAGAAGGTGTAAATGCATAGGAATAAAACAAAAAGTAGCTATGAATATTTTATTTGAATTAGTAAAACAAATTGACACATTCTTGGGTCTCCAAGTCCAGAGAAATGGTCATGTAAATTATCTTAGGTTTTCGTCCTTCCCAATCAGTGGCTGCAGCCAGGACCTTCCTAAATTTTTCCGCAAGCTCTTAGCCTCAAAGCGTCTGAGAACTGTAGCTGCATTAAGTAATATTAATAACATTTAAAAAATAAAAACTGAAAGACTATCTAACAAAATACAATTTATTAATGGATATATAGTGAAACTTTGAGAACTGAATTGAATGAAGGGTTTAGAGAATCGGCACAAGGATTAAAAGAGGGCATGCTGCATTAGACACTGTTTTGTAAAACTGTCTGAACATTTAAGCGGCAATGCTTCGATTAAATAATAAATTCTTTAACAAAAAATACTGTAATAGAAAGCTTATCAGTTGAGTTTTAATTGTATTTCTTAATTTTCAATTTTACTTCTACGTATTAAAGAACATTCTCTTAAACTAATGTGAATACAGAAAAAGTATTGAAGTTGAAAATAAGATTTATTTTTAAAATTTAGATCTAATATTGATTACTTATGATTGCATATACTTAGAAGTATAATTAAACAAAAACTCCAACTTATTATAAATACAAATGCATTCTATTCTTTGATGTAATCGTTTTTTTTTTTCTCCTTCTGCAAAATTACTTTTTTTTTTTGTGATCAGATACAAAAACTATTGACCTACAACTGTGTTAGACTTAGAAAATTAAGTTTTTCAAGCCTCTCTCTCACTTTCTTGGTTTGGATTTTTGAAACTTTTTTTGAAATATTTGGTTTCCTTTACATGGGAACAAATTTTGTATTTTTCAAATAGAGAGAATCTCTTCCTAGCATTATTTTTAAATTAAATTTATTTATAATGCTGCCTTTAACTACAGCTTGCAAAGATAAAAATCGACTGATGAGATATATTTATACAGATTAAAAAATTGTGAGTGGTGCATGTGCATATATGAAAAATCCTGAATAAACTTAGAAATGTTAGGGATTAACTGCAAATTAATGTTTGTAAAATTTAGAACAAAAAGAGAGGAATTCTAAATATTTTGATTTATTATTTGGAATTGTTATTCAGATTAAAAACTTTTTTTCTTTTTTTTTTCTTAAGCATTTAAAAACTGGAAGAAGAAAAAAATATCACATANAAAAAGAGAGGAATTCTAAATATTTTGATTTATTATTTGCAATTGGAATTGTTATTCAGATTAAAAACTTTTCTAATTTTTTTTCTTAAGCATTTAAAAACTGGAAGAAGAAAAAAATATCACATAAATATATTAATAATAATTAATATTCTAATCAACAATTTTACCCAAAATGACATTAG